TCAGTAAATCAGAAAACATGGATGGCCAAATGGGAGTGTAAATGGGAATTCTGTACTTGCTCTCACAGCACATTTGGTGGTAAGGCTTTTATTCATTTCAAAACAGTAGTGCAGGTGTCCTGTATTTTATGTGAAATCAAACTAACTATAAACAGAAAGGCAGTGCAAAATCCATTGCTGTGCCTCTGTAGAACTTCACGTGGATGGACAAATATTCCCTAGCAAAGGATCAGGGCCATAATGAACAAACCTTGCTTTCCAAGAGGTGATATCCAACCTCCCTCACTCAAGGTGATAAATTCACTCAGTAACACCTCTGACATTTACTGTCTTAGGCTCCACACCTCTGCCTCTGTGACCACATCTGCATGATGTGGTAGCAGACTCATATTAATGCAGCTCTCAAGTCCAAACAGAGCCTGATGTCTTCTTTTGTAAAAGCAGGTTATAATATTTGTTGCCTACCCCTTAATTTTCAGCCTATGAACATTTCCCCATCAATTCCATTGTATCAGCTATTATACAGATTAGCTGATTTGCATGCTCTCCCAAGCTGAACTGAAAAGATTCAAGTCTGCAGGTCACATTTATTGGCAGAAGCAATACTCCCAAGGTACATCTTTGCTTAATTTTTCATCTTTAAGTAGACAGCACTGCCAAAAAATTAAACACTTGTCTAAGAGGGAGAGAGGACTCAGTAAAGGCACTGACGAAGTAGCAGTGATTTCAAAACAGCTTCTCATGCATTGATTTTTAACTGTTGGAGAGAAATACTGTGATATTTTTGATGAAGAAATGTACATTATTTGTCAAACAAATCTCTCCTTAGCTTTTTGTGGTAATCCAAACCCTCGGCTTCCAGTGTCTGAGAACTAATTATTTCCAAGAGTTTTAGTTTTCCACCAAACAACACTCTTGGTAGAAAAGAAAAAGGCAGTTTCTAGTTATGGGAAGCAGCAATGAGTGAAGTCTGAACCTGAAGAGATTCCAGCTTGGCCCTGTGGCTTCTGATCTTGGGTCTTGGCTTTCTTTGCCCCAAATTCCTGATCTGCCTGTGTGTCAGGAGCCAGCAGGAGGGGTAACATGAAGACAAAAGGGCGATCACACCTGGGCATGACCAAGGTGCAAGAGAAGCAAAAAGCAAGTGGGATGGGAATAGAAGTTTGAGAAGCAATAAACTAAAGTTCTTTGTCATGTTTTCCTAAGAATGGGGGAATTTACATAATGGGGGACTCTTACTAGCTGCCATCTCACTATGATGATGATGATGTTATTCCTCAGCAGTAACAGGATGGCCACGGATGAAAAGCAACTGTTGCCTAAAAATCGTGGAGAAAAAAACCTCACCAGGCTAACTTAGTAGAGATAAGATATAGAGCGGGTCTTTAATGAAGGCCTTCTAGCACAAGGAGTACAGAAAGGCTTGCACCTCTGTCCAGGGGTTCCACAATTTGTGATCTGATCTGAGAACTACCCACCTCCAGATCTGCCCCCCTGGCATGCCTCCCCAGAAATTGAGTTGAAGGTCCTAAGACCCCTTTCTTCCTCATCTTCCTCTTCTTCACAGCACTTGCTGTCTTTGGAACTTCTCTAAGGTGCTGGGCTTGAAGGTTGCTTTGACTATGATGGTAACTTGTTGTTCAAGGCTGGGGTGTGTATATTCCTAAACAGAATGTGTTCACTATAGTCCTGCCTTGAAAGGTACCTAAACAAGCCTAAAGGATTTAGAAAATTCAATATGAAATAGGGGAATAGGGTTTGATGAGTGTTAACTACTATTCTAAAAGTGTGACAGACTATACAGTTACATTAAAATCTACAAAAAGCTAAAAATCCTAAAAGTTCAAAGGCCTCACAGCTACCACTTTAGGTAGGTTATGCTGTTGGAACAGTTGACCTTGCCCTGGGGGTAGACATGAGCATTAGCATCTCAGACACAATTATTTGAGTATCTGGAAGAGAAATTTGTCAGAAAAAACGTCTTCAGATTTGCTGAGAAAACATTATCGAAGAGGTCTTCATGGCATGACAGATCTCCTGTTATGGCATGAAGGAAAACAGAATGATTGTCCCACCTAAATCCTTTTGAAATCCTAGCAAAAATGTTATTGGGAGGAAAGATTGCTTAGCACAAGTTTACCTAACCAAAATAAGACTTTTTTTTTTAATGCAAATTGCAAATGTTCCTGCAATGTGATTCCAATTAGTTCAGCTAACTTTCTAACTAATTGAAGGCATAGTCACCTCTGAAATGTGCAAGTCAATTAGAAGACAACCAGCTCTCAATTGCTCTAACATATAGAACTTTAGTGAAAAAAACCAGCACAAATCCTGTGTCAGAAGTGTACAGAGTGGGTAAATAGTCTCTGATATGCTGAAGGAAAATTACTCTGATATTTTCATCAAAATATTATGAAACCATCACTGAGTGGAAAATTTTGTTACCTATGGCCTGTGATACATGAATTCAAAGACATTTTCCTTTAGAAGGAAGAAATGCTGTTCATTACCTTGCAGTGTTCAAATGGATCTTCTTTATAAGTCAACATTAAGATGCTGTGAGTGTATGTTTTGTCACTGAATTACAGATCTGTTTTCTGATAAAAGGAGAGCACTGTAGGAAAAGAAATAAGTGCCAGTTAGCTCATGCTGAGCTTGTACAATGGTTTTCTTGTATTTGATAGAAGCTAAAATAAAGCAATGAATCCCAAAATGTGTTCACGTAAAATGCCAGACTTTTTATAGATAAAAGAGTATGTCGCACTCAGCATGAAAAAGGTTCTTGGATTGTAACAATAACGATGGCCACGCTTCCCATGACTTTACTATGGCCAGGTTTTTACTCTTGGGCTCTTTATATGGCAAACAATCCAGGAAACTTTATTTGCTTTTACTGTCAGACAAATAAGGTGCATCGTGATATCCTTTTAATCAAAACTACAACATTTAGGAAAATCAGTGCTAGTTACTGCTTGTATTACTAATAGAATGTGAATTAACTTTGACTTGACCTTTTGTGCAATATTTCTCCCCAGATCTGCCATTGGGAAGCTGGGAGTGGATGTATTCGAGGCTGTGTACAGCTATCTCAGGCAAGCGAGGCAGCAGAATGCCAGCGAGGAGGAGATCAGGAGCTGTTTGGAGAAACTGGTTTCTAGAGCCAGCGATTGCTTTGAGGTGGATCAGCTCCTGTACTTCGAGGAACAGCTACAGGCTTCAGAACCTCATCTGCAGCTGTAACAGGTGTGGCAGTAACAGCGCTGGAAACGGCAAGGAGCGGGGAAGGTGCTTGGCTGTTCTGCAGGCAAATGCAGGAGTAAGGAAACTGCCAAAGGTTAACCTAGTATATAAGCATGTAGGAAGGCTCCATTTGAGAATCCAGACTGCAGTGAGAAGTGGGTAAATATGGCACAGATGACAGGGGCAGGAAGAACAATTGTTTGTGACTGTAGAGGGGAGCATTCACCATTACCCAAGTCCCCTTTTTCCACCACTTAAAGCATAAGGAAAGGTGTTCTTGTGGGCTGTGGCCAGGCACTCAGAGCATCACTGGGAAAGCTACCTCTGATAGAATGATGCAGGATTAGACTCCAGCTGCTGTTGATTTCTGTTCTAACTGGTCCTTGTGACATTTAAGCCTGTAGTTTTTGTACTTTGGCAGTTCTACCCTTAAACATACACGTCTTTATGGCCACTCAGCCCCTAATTGCCTTTTTATTATTGATTATTCAAAAGGGCTGCATTTAATCTGTGTGACTTCCAAAGGAACTGTGGAAATGCACATATGCTCACATGCACTGAGATAGGTGTGCATGTTCATAATGGCAGAAAGATGACTGGTCATACTCTGTACACTGTCTGTATAAAGACAGACGTGTGACCTGAGCTACAGCTGACTTTGTTAGATAAGAATTCTCACTGTGACTTCTGAGACTGTTGGATCAAATTCATTCTACACAGATGGAACAATAAATTGATTTTTCTCTTACACACAGCTGTAAATGTTTTTTCTTAGTGATTATCCTCCCTTCTTCGTATGCATCACACTTCTGCTGATTTCAACTGTATATCATGCTCTGATTATATACTTGATGTTTTCCTTCCCCCTTTTCCTTCTTTATTCTGCAGTCTGAGGTCCTTCATCCATCTTGTGAAAGGCTAAAGGATAACAAAGTGGTACAATCTGTAAAGGAACCTCAAAGGAATTGTGGACCAAATTAATTTGAGGCATTGAGCCATTATCATAACCCTTATGTTTCCTACTTTTCTGCTACAACTCTTAAAGGACTTGGGGACTGAATTAAATAAATTAAAAGAAATTCATAATATGAATATGACAAAACCATTTCGATTTGACCCAGGATGAGTTATTTACAGCTAGTATTGATACTGGTATTGATGGCCAATTAAGCGGTGCTACCGGCCTATCTTCATGACACACTTTAAGAGACCCAAAGCAAAAGGCAAGTGGAGTCACCTGGATCTATTTTAGCAGCAGCATAAACTGAGGAAGCAAAGGGCATGCCCAGCATTGTACTTCCAACTCAAAGTAATGAGATTCTGGCATGTCTAGTTTCAGCTTTTATTTGGAGTACATGGTGTTGCAAACCAGAGGCTAAAATCCACTATGATGGTTACTGAGGTTGGGGAATTTTTTTTATTTATTTCTATGTGGTGATTCAGATCCCAGACAATTTGAAGCACAAATTCTCTGTCAGGTTGCAGTCTCTTTCCTATTGTTTCTTCTTGTACTTACACTCCCCATCCTCTCTGATGTTGTGTCTGTGTACCTGCTCCCATATGTTTTGCACATAACTTTATTTAAGACCATTTAAAAACAGGAGTGCTGAAGTCCAAGATACAGGAGGAATGCTTGGATGTTGCAGGGACTGTAAAGTCTGAAAGCAAACAATAAGTAACACACAGTCAGAGGGAGATAATCTTCGCTCCTGTGATTACCTCTGGTTGTGGTTCGAAGTGAACTTCAAAACCAGCCTCTGTAAGCAATCAATTCATTCTTATTAGTGATGAAGGCTTCCTTGGGCTTTTTTTTGTGTACAGGATGTAAGAAAAAATACCCACAGAGGAATGGGTCAGGCTCCTTAAGGCAGTGAAGGACTAAGGAGATCATTACAGTGGAACCTTTAAAACCTGAAAAACGTGGTTTAGCCATGCAGATTGCCCTCAAGGAAATGGTTGCTTTCTGATGAGCAGTACTTTCTTTCACTTGTTGCTCAGGAAAAAGAAATCACAGTGCCTTTCACAGTTACTTCAGTTGCTTTCTGCTCTCTGCGGGGAATGACCTTCAAGGCATGTGAGGATCCGGAGGTTGCTGCTTTACTGGTTATATGCTTTAAACCGTACTTTCTTTCAGAGGTTTTTTTGCATCAATTGTGCTACAATTAGCCAATGTGGTATACATATTAAACACAGCAGGAAACTTTCTGTCTTTGAGCTGTAGTAAAAGCACAGAAATACACCCCATGGATTTGACAGAAATTCTTACATCACTATTGCTTTAACTTGCAAAATCCCATTGCTGGTGGTCATTAGAAGAAAACTAAAAGGAAGGAGGAGGATTGTTGGTATTGTGGATCTTCGGTCATAAAAAAAGCAACAGAGCTGCTGGAAGTAAATGTGAGGAAATAAATGTAAAGGCATATGGCTGTGGATAGATCTTCATAAAGGGTTCCATTTTACCTACATATTTGTACCAAAAGCTTCACAAGCATCAAGCAACCTTGCTGCTTTTTTTATTGATTCTCTTAAAAATGCTACAAGCTGTACTGCTTGATGAAGAGATATTGCAAACGATGGAAGTGAGGTGAGTAATTATTTAATGCTTTTGAGGCCTTGAACCTGGTAAAAAGGTGCTTGAACTGTAGAGAGGAAAAAAAAATCTGAGTTTTTTGATAAGTAGAACTGTCAACATCTTTTCAACACCTGGTTTAGGAGGCAGACCGATTATATTTTTCACAGCAAACAAAAAGTCCTTTCTTACATGCGATTGTTCTGCCAGATAATTCCTAGAAGGCATCAGCGTTCCCTCTCTAGAGGATGAAGAGTCTGAAAATCCTGCCTGCAGGAAAGGCCTATCCTTCCTCCAGGGCCCAGAATTGTGACTGCTGCCTTGTGGTGACCAGCTCCAGGGTGCTCTCACAGTCAAACAAACCTGCACCCGGCACAGCCAGAGCTCACTCCTGACCACTGCTCACTCTCCAAGTCCATGCATAACCAGGGTGATGGAGCATCGAGCAGATACACAGGTGAAAAAAAAGGTAGGAGTCAGCAAAGTAGCCTTGTGGATAATGCAAAGACTGACCTTTATGCAAAGTCTTAGCTGTAGGTCTGTTCAGACTGAGCTGTAGGTGCAACTAGTGTTACCTGAAGGAATTTAGTGGGCAAGAGAAGAAAAGCTCCAACAGGAGACTCATTTGGAGAAAGGAACAATAAGCCCATAGGTGTACTTGATTTCATATTTGTTTGTAATATCTGTGCACAACACAGCATAACCTGAAAGCTCTTTAGCCTGTCTCTGCTGAAAAACTCTGTTTTTCATTAGAGAGAGGTCCGGCAGAAAGTTTTCTGCGTGTTATTATTTGTAGAAGCGGAAGTCTCATGAAAATACAGCTGCTGACTTCACTGATGATCATTGCTGTTCAGGAATATGACTGCCTTGATAATAACTCTATCCATATGTGCTGGCTGTATGCACATAAGGACAGCTGGTAACAGCAAAGGCAAATGTATTTATGTACAGACTGATCAGGCACAGAGGGTGGGGAAGGGATGGAAGAGGAAGGAAAGGGCTGTAGGTTCCTTCCGCTTACACCTTCTCATATACTTA